GACGAAGACTTTCAGATTGTTTTTACACCAGATGTTCTTCCTGACACAAGCTCAGACACCGCGCCTCTGTGTGGAGCAGAGAGCTGCATCTGGGGCGCCCGGGGAGCAGAGGGTGGGGGTTAAGGGCCTTGCTCAAGGGTCCAGTGGGAGGCAAATGAGGGTGGAGGCAGGTGTGGGTGCTTCACCTTTCCCACCCACATTTTGATGTTGTTGGTACGGGGAGTTGAACCAGCCATCTTCTGATCACACGCCCACCTTCTCTAACCTCTGCGCCCCCGCTCCCTCCACCAGCTGCTGTTTTAAATGTGCTTCATAAATAAAGTTGACTTGACCAACATGGGAAATATTTGGATATTTTTTTTTTCAATTCAGTTTATTTCTAAATCTCCAAGTCACAACAGAAGTTGTTTCAGGGACTGAACAGAAATGTTCATCTATAAAAATAACAAGTTAACATTATTTATGTGAGGAGCAGACTGCTGTGAGTTTAACTCCGTCACAGAACTCTCATGTTGAACAAACATGGATCCTTCTTCATTCAACCTTTATTTATCCAGGTTAGTGTCACTGCGCCACGAGGACTCCTTTACAAGAGAGACCTGCTCCAGACAGAACAGATAAAGCACAGACAACAACAAAATGCAGTTAAAACAAGAGAAGTGTATAAAACAATAACTCAGGGTGCAGTAAAAAGAGGTAAAATACTAAAAGTATGTCTGCTTTGATGTTTCTATTGACCTTATGAAATGCTTAAACCCCCTAAAAAAATCAAGGAGGACAACTTCACTTCCTGTTGCAAGATGTTCCAGGTGCAGGAGCTGAGCAACAATAAAGAAAGTAACAATAAATTATATAATTAATTAATATATATATATATTAATTATATATATATATATATATAATTAATATATATATATAATTAATAAAGAATGATGACAACAATGGACAATCATAAAAGAAAGCATATAAATTGGGAAAAATAAATTAAAGAAAGAAAGGGCAGCACGGTGGCACAACTGGTAGAGCTGCTGCCTCTCAGCGAGCAGGTCCCTGGTTCAAATCCCGGTCCAGGGGCCTTTCTGGGTGGAGTTTGCATGTTCTCTCCGTGCATGCGTGGGTTTTCTCCGAGTACTCCAGTTTCCTCCCACAGACCAACAACATGCATGTTAGACTGATTGGTAACTCTAAATTGTCCCTAGGTGTGAGTGAGAGAGTGAATGGATGTTTGTCTCGTTTGTCTCTATGTGTCCCTGTGATGGACTGGAGACCTGTCCAGGGTGTCCCCCGCCCCTCGCACAGTGATTGCTGGACATGGGCACCAGCGACCCCCGTGACCCAAAATGGAATAAGCGGGTAAAGATAATGGATGGATGGAAATTAAAGAAAATTATATTAAATAACAAACACAAACAGCTATAATGTAAAGTGATGTAGAATACTAAAAACAGGAACATGTCTGCAATTTAACCATCTCCTGCTTTGGCACCTGTTTATTTGTATGACTTAAATTCTAAATGTTAAATAATAAAACATTTGGAAGATAATTATGTCTGACGTTTTGTACAATGTTACGGAGCCCCGGAGGGGACATGGAGGATTTTTTTTTTCCTTTTGCGTTCCCTCATGTCCCCTCCGGGGATCCGTACAGTACCGATCATCGTAAACGTTTTGCTTTGATATAAAAAATACCAAAAAAGCAACAATTAATTAATTCAACGTATAAAAATTCGTAATATGAAAATTCAGTAACACTCGGGTAACTTTATGCTGTTAATAAACTATTCCAACATTTTAGCGTTATTTATTTATTTTTTACTTTATTCTTTTTCAAGTAACATAATTTTTCTGAATGAAGCGGGGAAAGGCCAGCAGAGGGCGGCATCATTGCTAAATTCCTACAGTTTGCGGGTACCTGAACGCAGCAGCGAGGCGAAGTGAAACTGATCCGCGAGCCCTCGGAGAAGTTGCTGCAGCCGACCGGCTCGTTCTGAACCTGACCCGGGAAGAACCGCGTGCGTCAGAACCTCCAAGACCTCTTCGGTGCTCCGAGGACTGTCAGTATTACCCGGTTTAAAGGAGAACAGCGGAGACAGGCCCCGGTAGTCGCGTTGATCGTGTTGTTTGTGAAGCGGCGGATTTCCCCCCTCTGCTGTAACAGCCGGTGAGATGCTAATGCTAACAGCTAGGCTAACAGGAAAACACTCAAGTGTTGCCATAAAGGGCCTCGTTGTTTATGTCAAGTCACGACATCTAGCGTTTTATTATAATTATTATAATAATAGAGCTTGTTTAAAGAGCAGCAGCAGATTCACAACACTGTTATTAAGATAACGTTTTTGAAATGTAAATAAATGATAAGCAGCTCAAGTGCCGAGATGACCTCACAGCTATTTATTGGTTTGTTGTGTTTGGATGTTGGTTAGGACAGTTACGATGTTGTTCCAGATGTTGTTCCAGATGTTGTTCCAGATGTTGTTCAAGATGAAGTTCAAGATGTTGTTCCAGATGTTGTTCCAGATGTTGTTCAAGATGTTGTTCCACACTCCGCCATGTTCATCTCCAGCAGCTGGAGGAAGTTTCACTGGACCTTCAACATTTAGTCCAACGGACACCACATGAGCAGCCTGAGGCAGACAGGTTCTGACGGCAGGTCCAAACCGACCCGGCCCAGTCGGTCCTGAGGCAGACCGGTTCTGACGGCAGGTCCAGTCGGTCCTGAGGGCAGACTGGTTCTGACGGCAGGTCCAAACCGACCCAGCCCAGTCGGTCCTGAGGGCAGACTGGTTCTGACGGCAGGTCCAGTCGGTCCTGTGGGCAGACTGGTTCTGACGGCAGGTCCAAACCGACCCGGCCCAGTCGGTCCTGTGGGCAGACTGGTTCTGACAGCAGGTCCAGTCGGTCCTGTGGGCAGACTGGTTCTGACAGCAGGTCCAAACCGACCCGGTCGGTCCTGTGTTCAGTCCAGGTTCAAACAGATTCAGTCAAATGTTCCTTATTAATTCATTTGTAAATGTGTTTTCAACTTGAGCTTTTAGGCAGCTGTAATAAAGTGTTCCTGTAAACATGAATATAAAATGTACGTAAAGCTCCTGTGCACATGTTGTTCATTCTTTTCTCCTTATTTGAACCTGTTAACAGTTGAAACACAGCGATGCCACACAAACACAGATCCAAGTCGTGGGCGACTCTGAAACAAGCCGGGAACGAATGTTTCAGGACGGGTCAGTACGGAGACGCCACGGCTCTTTACAGCCAGGCCATCAAGGAGCTGGACAAGGCCGGTGAGTGACCCCACACCTGTGGACGGTACAGATGTTACTGTACACATGTTCAGCACAAACTGTGCAGATGTTCAGCACAAACT